TGTGAACAATAAAAAGAAAATCTGTCAGTAGGTCCGATTACACCAAAATAGAATAAAAACTGATCCAGCACAATTAAGAGGTATATTAGTTTTCTCTGGTAATGTATATTGTTGGTACTACCAACTATGGCAGGCTGTTTTGACTTTTATTAATATGACTAAATATGTATTTTTGATATCTTAAATAATTTTTTTCAAATCAAAATGAAGATATAAAACAAAACAACATTCTTCATAACTAAACAAAATGTTATTGAGGTCTAAAAAAGAATTTCAGATTGCTAAATTAATGTTACTTAACAAAATTTTCATTATTTTGAACAAGGAGGAACTGTTGTAACATATAAATACATACCTATAAATACAGTTCTATGAAACTTGATTAGTACAATTTTTGTTAACTTTTTAAAATTCAATGTCTTATATCAAATATTTTTTACAGTTCTGACAGCTCCAGCTGTGACAGCTTTTCATACTTGATATGCATGTGGTCAAAACCGAGTGGTTAGTTGATTAAGCTAACTCACAGCAGCTGTTAAACCAATAACTCAGTTTCCAACCTTAGGCTTGATCAATTCAGAGTTGAGGATTTGAGTCAGTTTGTTAAACCTGCTTTGTGAAACCTCAGGTCAGTTATGTACTGCTGATAAATCCAAATATTCCCACAATTGATAACTATACACTGTTTGTACAGTCCAAATGAGCAAACGTCAGAGATGGTTTTACATCATAGCCTGAATATTTGAAAAGGTATCAGTTTTTCTCCATCAGCATGCTTTCAATCCAAAAGATTTTGACCTTGTCATTCAGACTGCTACTTGACATAGAATTTTTTATAAAATCTATTTTCACCTAAAATGCTAAGACCGTAAATAATGGCAGAGATTGAACACTTTTGAATATAGCTAACTGACAGTTTTATGCAGTAAAAAGTAGATAATGGCATATTTTAAGAGCATAAAGTGTAAAACTCTTGACAGACTTGAGACATTGTCAGCTTGGCATTAACTGGATCTATATGGTTGAATGAACCCAGCCTGATTCTGGACGGAAAAAACAACTCGAGTGGTATGAAAGTGGCAGACAGAGTACAGTGCATCCCACACACTGTCATAAGACATATCATAACATAACTCCTGTTCCGAAACCTTTGCACAGGTTTTAACAGCGCTATCATGTTGTGTTATCATAGTAGCAAGCAATACCCTCACACAGCCATAGGAATCCAATATTTCTCTACAAGACCCTTAATAAATATCCAACTGTTCTTTTGGTACAATTGTGGCAACATACTACATCCAACACACTTCACCTATTTACTATAAATAATTTATTTACTATTGAAATTTATGCTTAGATATTTATTCTGTTTTTCTTTGTTGCAGGAAAGGAAGTACAACCTTTGGGTGCACTAGAAAGCATTGTAAATACTTTTTTCCCCTTTTTTTTTAGTTAGAAACCCAGATGAAATGTCCATATATATGTATATATGTATATGTATATATATATATATATATATATATGAGTAAAGGATATCTAGAACATGATAATTTGGCATGCATTGCTTCTTATAATTTGGTCAAAGCAATGTTAAGCAGCTGGGCTGAGGCAGACCACCACAGACGTCTGATAAATTACCTCTAAATATTGCAGCTTATCCCTCTGTAATGTGACGCCAGTGTTAGATTGCGAACTGACAGTCAGCTGCCATAACTAAAAGGATTTTCTGAGCTGCTGTAATTATAAGCTTTTGACTGTCTGTCTGGTGTTGACACAGCTTGTTTACTATGTCCCCTTGGAGTGGAACTGTATCTGTTTGTGGTCAGAGTGTCGGTTTTTAAGCCTTTTCAATACAACTTGTCCATTAGAAATGAATTAGGACAGATGGTTAGGTGGATAGTGAACTAAATAAAATATAGTTATGCTCTATGCTTGAACTGCAACAATTGTTTAGTTGTAATATTTCCAGTTACGCTGGTGAAGATTCTCAGTCATCCAGGTCATAGTCATTCCAAAAAAAAGTTAAAAAATAATCC